GTCCTCCGACTAATACTCATGGTATTTGACTTTGAATTTACCACTTCTAGTCCTTCAACTATTGTGAGACAGACACTAATGTTCTTCGACTTTGAAGTTTGAACGTTTCCACTTTTAGTCCTCTAACTATTGTAAAAATGACACTTTTGGTTCTTCAATTTTATCATAATGACATTATTATTAGACCTCCACTTATTGAGAAGAAAGTTAGGGAATGACTAAAAATGTCACTTATAAAAGTCGAATGAGATTTACTGGACATGTTTGGCTTGGTTTTGTTTATGTATACTGATTCACGTGCCTTAATAGTAACTTCGAGATATTATAAAAGTCGAATGAGATTTACTGGACATGTTTGGCTTGGTTTTGTTTGTGTATACTGATTCACATGCCTTAATAGTAACTTTGAGATAGGTTGTGTTTTAACTCGAAATACAAACTTCAAAGGTATACAACGTTTATTTATATATTTATTTCTTCAACCAAGAAGTTTAGTTATTATTAATCAAATCGTGGCTCAAGGCCCGCAAAATACAAAGAGGAGGATTGGACAACCATATTACTATATTAGACAGTCAGGCAAAGGAGGAACAACTGTTCGAGCAAGTTCATGAGCAACATGATTCACATACCGTTTAATAAAATCAAAAGAAATGCTATTAAAACTCTTAACTAAGTCTCTTGCATCATCTGCTCACAAACCAAATTGTGCTAGGCCTCCACCAGTTTCTCGATAGCATAAACAGCTTCAAAGGCATCGGATTCAACATCTAGGCATTCTCCTTCAACCAACTCAATGCTTCACGAACCCTAAGGACCTCTGCTTCTTTTGGTGAATTTCCTCCCTAGCCATGGCTGAGCTCTTGCCACCACAAAGACACCACCAGCATCCTTTGCCACCAAAACAAGCCCTTGCCATCCATTAGTCCCAGTAGCTGCGTCAATTAGGGGTGTGCAAAAATACTGAACTGACATGGTACCGAACCAAAACGGTATGGTACTGGACTGAAAAACGGGGTTTGAAACGGATCTCAAAATTTTTTGTCCCGAACCGAACCGTACCGATTCTAAATAATGCCATGACCGATTCTCATAAAATGAGAATCAGCCCAGCCGAACCGGACCGAAGTATGATTTAATGATTTAAATTTATATTCATACCATTACTTTGACCAATGTCTTCACACTTTCATCGCCTTACTAGTTCATATGAAGCCTGGAATCGAACCAATGTATGGTTTAATTATTTAAATTTGTACTACTATAGTTTATCTGAAATTAATTAATTATGTAATACTACGTCCGCCCCAAATTGATTTGCAAAAATTAATTTTTCTTGTCAAACGGTTTCATTTTATTCACTTAAATAGCATGTCAATTTTTAATTATAATTAATTTGGTGTTTGCAACTTTGAACGAGTTTTTATGTAGTTTCTGAATATGTAAATTTTAATTGTTAAAAATTGAATTAATTATTCATCCGGCTATTAGCTAGCCGACAACTGTTATTATCAAACACGGTCGTTGACATTTTAGACATCTACTTTTGAAAACAAAATCAAAGTAAAAAGATTGAAAACACCAATTTCAAAATACTTAGAATATGAAATGCCGTAACTTTTAAAGTCGAGAATAAAAAATTTATCACTTACAAAAATTGACCAAATTATCTGAGTGGTTTTTTACCAATTTGGTAAAAAAAACCGGTAAAAAAATGTCAAAACAATACCATCGGTTAACGTCAAACTACCACGCTCCGCCCAGTTGCCGTTCTCAGTCGCAGCCCAGAACGACGGGAACTACTAGTAGGTTGTCTTTCTTCTTCGATATCTATCCACGAACTGCAATCAGTCGATCTGCAGGCGATCAATCTCTTCTTAACTACACGACTACACTTGATCGAATCAACTGTCCAAGTATTTTATCCTCCCTCGAATCTGTATCTGTCCAATTCTTGTCCTCTTCTATGTCCAAATTACTTCTCCCTCGAACCTGAAATCTCCCCCGATTCTTAAATTTGTTTCCGATTCTTAATTTATTCCTCCCTCAAACCTAAAATTTAAGCGTTTCTGTTTTATCTCTATGAAATCAAAGTAATTAATTGATTATTTGATTATATCTAACTGCATGTTATGATGTTTAGCGTGCGATTTTAGATTATAACTACTCTGTTGTGATAAGAAGAGCAGAAATAGAAAGATAGTATGGGTTGGAAAATGTGAAGAGGGTTAGTGCTCGTATGGTGATTGCTTATTAGCTTCTGGAATTATTCTGTTTTAAGTGAGTTATATTTATTTTATCACTTTATCTGTTTTTATTCATTTCATGTTCAGCAATGCAATAGATAACTATTTTTTATCAACTGTTAACTTTTGATATGTCACTTCATTTTTGTAAGGAAATAAACAAATCTTGAAGCTGAAGACTTATGTTGTAGACTTGAGCTGCTTATGGTTTTAGCTTTGGAGATTAATTATATGAGATTTGGAGAATTTCATCTTTGAGATTTGTTTTAAGATGTTTCGAAAATCATGTAATACAGATGAGATTTGCAGTCATGTTTTATGGTTTTTGGTTAACCGGTTGGTGGTTAACCGGTACTCGGTTAACCGAAGTTACGGTACAGATAATGGTATTATAAGACCATTTGGAGTGGTGCAAGAGGCTAAATGTCAAAAATAGACGCCGTTCATATGAAAACAGTGTTTTGACTCCTATTTCTTGCATTCCAGCACCGTCAATAAAATACACTCTGCATATTTTTTTACACGTCAATTTAGTAAAACATTAATTAAATTACTATAAGTCATGTTTTCCTTTTAATTTTTTCTCTGATTAATTATAAAATAAAAAAGACACGTTTCGATGTAAAAATAAATAAATTTCATTAATTCTTTTAACGTTCTTTATTAACAAAAAATGAACTTAGTTCAACTAAAGTGGAATATTCCGTTATTTGTAAAGGCCCCGTGAATTAAAAATTCGTGTTTCGTGTTTTTTGGCCTAAAAGTAGGCACTTGTAGGGCTGGGATTTTGGAACCGGGAACCGAAAAAATGACCGGAACCGAACCGATATAACCCGGTTCGGTTCGGTTCCTGTTTTTGGTTCTAAAAAAATTATCGGTTCGGTTCTTATTAGGATTTATCGGTTCGGTTCCCGGTTTGTCATAAAAATTTGTCCCTGGAACCGATATAGAACCGTTAAGAAGCTGTTCTCTTCGCCTGATCTGAATGTTTCTGATCTGAATTTTTTAAGTTCTGATCTGATCTGATCTGAATTTTTCTGATCTGATCTGATCTGATCTGAATCTTTCTGATCTGATCTGATCTGATCTGAATCTTTCTGATCTGATCTGAACTGATCTGAATCTTTCTGATCTGATCTGAATGTTTCTGATCTGGTCTGATCTGATCTGAATCCTTCTGATCTGATCTGAATCTTTCTGATCTGATCTGATTTGAATATTTCTATTATAATTATAATTATAATTATAATTATAATTATAATTATAATTATAATTATAATTATAATTATAATTATAATTATAATTATAATTATAATTATAAGTATAATTATAATTATAATTATAATTATAATTATAATTATAATTATTATAATTGCAATTACAAATATAATTTAAATAAAATTATAATCATAATCGTAACTATAATAATAATAGTAATAATAATAATAATAATTAAAACTGAATTTAAAATGAAAAAATTTATACGTATTACACTAATTATAAATATAGATATAATTATAATTGTAATTATATTTTTAATTATAATTACTTATATAATTATAATTGTAATTATAATTACAATATTTATCTCTATAATTATAACTATAGTTATCAATATTATTATAATTACTCCGTAAAATAATTACAATAGTAATAATAATAATAATATTAATAATTATAATAAAAATAATAATTATAATCATAAATTATTATTATAATATAATTATAAGTATAATTATAATTATTATAATTATAATTAATAATAATTATAATTATATTAACATCAATTATAATATTATAATATAATAATAGTAATATAAATGCAATTAATATTATTATAACGATATTATTATATTAATATTATTATTACAATAATATAATAATAATAATATGATTATTATTATTATAATTAGTATTATATTATTATAATATTATATTATAATTATAATTGTAATCATAATTATAATTATGATTGTAATTATAATTATAATTATTATAATTATAACTAATTACAATTATAATTATAATTAATTATTGATATAATTATAATAATTACAATTGATTATACTTATAATTATAAGAAATTTAATTGTAATTATAATTATAATTATAATTACATATAATTATAATATAATATTATAATAATATTAATCATATTATTATTATTATATTGTAATAATAATAATAGTCTTCTTAATAATTGCATTTATATTACTATTATTATATTAAAATATTATAACTATTATTAATATCTTATTTTTTTTATCATATTATTATTAATATTATTAATAATAATTATATAATAATAATAATCATAATAGTAATAACAATAATAATAATAATAATTAATATAATAATAAAAGTGATAAATCATGTTTGAACTTTTCTGATCTGATCTGAATGTTTCTGATCTGATCTGAATGTTTCTGATCTGATCTGATCTGAATCTTTCTGATCTGATCTGAATCTTTCTGATCTGATCTGATCTGATCTGAATCTTTCTGATCTGATCTGATCTGAATTTTTCTGATCTGATCTGATCTGAATTTTTCTGATCTGATCTGATCTGATCTGAATAAAATAAGAATAAGTAATAAGTAATAAGAATAAGACGAACAGAACAGCACCTAAGTGTTAGTTCCATCTGAGTAGCTACCAGTTACTCAGTTAGTGGGTTGTCTCTCTAGCCCACTTATTTTGTAGTTCCGTATTGAAGTATTACTTAAAATTAAAATCCAACTTTCAGCCTTTAGCCCAAAGCAACCTTAAGCCCTTTTCAATCTTCACATTTTACGGCTTAAAGCTAATGGGGAAAACCTAGCCGCTTCGATCATTTATGAGTTGCGGCTCTGCTCTTTCATATTCATACTCCTCCTTCAACGATTTTAATGGCTTCCTCAAACGAGAGGTCTAGGTATGCTTATCTTGCTCTCTGTGTTTCTTTAATTCGAACTTTTGAACCTCCAGACAAAACTATCGAAGATTCATCTACTTAGGTCTTTCCTTCTTGTTTTGGACAGCGGATTTTCTATACACATCGGAACTTCTGTGTAGAGCAAAGCTCCTCTCCATGTCAATTGTCTTGCTCCGATTTTGCATCACAGTGCTCATTAACCCTACCGTCAAGAGCAAAGAGAAGGTATGTATGTGAATCTCCAATCTATTTAATTTCTATTTCAATTCATTGTAATATTTGTTTTTCCATATGTGATTTATCATTTATGTGATTCATCTCACATTCTCAAAAGGATTTATAATTTTCATGAATTTTTGTTTACCCATATCTTATACTCCGTATAATTAAGCATAATTTTAGTTGAAGAACTTAAGCCATCTTTGGTCGATTCTATGCTTACTACTATAGTGTTTAGGAATTTATGAAATTGTTTATTCAATTTATGTAATTGCTTTTTTATCAATTTATGTAATTGTTTTTTTATCAATTTATGAAGTTGTTTTTTTAATCAAATATAGTGTTTAATTAATTTATAAAATTGTTTTTTTATCAAATGTATTAGTGTTGGATATAATACGTTATTGAATGAACTGTGTTTTAGATCACTGTTGTGCACTAAAAGCTCAATATAGACAATTTGTATTTCTGTATTCTGAAATGGGAGTTTTTATAACCCCATCACCAAAACCATTAAATAGTTTTAATGATGGATACTTTTAGAAGAACCAGTGTGTGTTTTAATTATTATTATTATTATGACTATTATTATTATTACACCACATTCTTAATGTTAATTTAAAATAATTCTTTCAGGTTTTAGGTGCTTGAAACTGTGGGCATCTACAACACTCTTGTTGCTCAATCAAAACTGTATTAGGATATTCTAATCATGTATTGAACAAATTGAACTTTTTGTTAAGTTTTCAACTTGTAATATTTGAACATTGGTGTTTTCAACTTATGTACTATTGAAAAAAATTGTACTTAAAGGAACCGATAAAATGCAAGAACCGAACCGTTAAGATATGATTCGGTTCCATAACGGTTCTTCATTTTTTTAACTAGAACCGAACCGATTTTAAGAGATAGATATTTCTTAACGGTTCCACCAATTTTAAAGAGGAACCGAACCGGTCCCAGCCCTTTAACTCCCGCATCAAAATTTTATATTTTTTTTTAATTTTTTTTATATATATGCAATATTGGTGTCAAATGAAAGATCATAACATTTTATTAATTTCGATATATTTTTTGTAAAATTTGGAATATAAATAAAAAAGTTATCGGGCTTTAAATGAAAAAGGTTTTTTTGTATAAGATGAAGTCAAATTCATTTAAAAGAACAACACCATCCAGCACTCCACCAGCCACTGCGCACCCCCCTCTCTCTCCCTTCTTCCTTTTTTTTGCTGTCAATCCATCTTCTATATTTGAGACCTTCCCCTCCCCTTTCCATTTTTAATACCTTCAAATAGTCACCAATGTAAGAAAGTAGGAGTCCAAAAGTTCCATTTTAACATTTTGGACTCCTAATACCTAACCACTACAAATGGTCTAAATATAGTAACCGGTTTATCGGTTAACCTAATGTTGGTTAACCAAAACACGGTTAACCAACCACGTCCGCCCCTACTCATTCCCATGCCTAAGTAGAAGTAATTTTCCCAAATTAATTCCAAACCTAATATCTATCCACTTCTCTTTCCAAATTTTCTCCCATTGGATTTGCAAGCAACCGCCAGTGCGACACCGAGATGGAGCCGGAAGTTATGGAAGCAGAGTTAGTGTTGCCAACTCGAATGAAATTCAAGAGAATTCAAATGGCCGACAAGTACCCCAAAGGTCAAGCCAGAGGTAGGCACTGGAAACATCTCAAGCAGATTATCCAAGCTGAGAATTACCAAAATTACCCTCCAAATGAACCCACTTGTAAGTTCCATCATCTACTCTGTAAATATGAAGCTATTTTGAAGGTGAAATTATTTCTTTGTTTGCACTTTGGTATCAAATACTCTTAATTCAACAGAATTTGTCATGTTACTTCAAATGTAATTTTTTAAATTAATATGTCGTTTGCTGATATTGTTTTTATTTATAATTATAAAAAAAATAATCTTTCGTGAGTTAGCAAGGATTTTATGTTCGTCTTTAATGTGGTGTTGATTTAGGAAACAGGTTGCTGCATTTGAACTTTAAAATGAAATGTGCTATATTTCCAAAATGTTTTTTCAGTGCAAGGTCTAAGATGCTATAATTAGATATCTCCTTAAGTGAATCTTTGTATTTTCACCTTCTTCCTTTATATGCAGACGTTAATATTGAATCTCCCCCTTCTATGCATCCATGCAAAAAGATATGCGATATAACAGGGTTTGAGGTATCTGTCTAAATTTCACTATTATACTGATATTTGATATAATGCTTGATAGTTTCAGAAATTCCCGCCCAGATTGCATTATTCCTTGCCTAGACACAAAGCTCTCATTTGCTCACGTTTCATGATGCACATGTTGATTTTACAAAAATAATTTAACTATTTGACATGACTATAACAACCATCTGAACTCCTTGTTGTTTCTTTATATGTTCTCCTTGACTAGAAAAATCTACAATGATGATGGATTTAAAATTTCATCTCATTAGTCCTTCTTTGGAAGGTTGCACATGAAAGGCATCAGGTGTAAAAGCTTGACACTATTTTTGCATGAATTTATAGTGCTAGAAATTTGAATGTTAGTGTGTGTTAGATAATTAATTGATACTCTAAATTTCATGCCACTGACAGTCTGTCACCAATATAGTTGGGATTATGGCGCTGATGATGATTAGACCCCAACTAATTTCACGTAATTTACTTCTAAGTCTTATTAATTTCGTACTAGACCGACCCTAAGCCACCCTAGTGCTTTTCACAACATTGCTTATTAGTTGAAGAGTGTGTTGCAGAATTGGTTATTTTGTATTGCTTTAGGATAACTGATGGTGTCTTATTTTACAGGCTCCTTATTTTGATCCCAGAACCAACCTCCGTTACGCGAATACAGAGGTCTTCAAGATGATAAGATCACTTCCTAATGATTATGTTCAGAGATACCTTACTCTTAGAAATGCTGCAGTAGTCTTGAAATAGTTTTTTTTTGCCAAACTCATCCATAACTTGTCTTAGTTATATGTTTGACTTGTTGCCGCTTATAGTCCTCCGACTAATACTCATGGTATTTGACTTTGAATTTACCACTTCTAGTCCTTCAAATATTGTGAGACAGACACTAATGTTCTTCGACTTTGAAGTTTGAACGTTTCCACTTTTAGTCCTCTAACTATTGTAAAAATGACACTCTTGGTTCTTCAATTTTATCATAATGACATTATTATTAGACCTCCACTTATTGAGAAGAAAGTTAGGGAATGACTAAAAATGTCACTTATAAAAGTCGAATGAGATTTACTGGACATGTTTGGCTTGGTTTTGTTTATGTATACTGATTCACGTGCCTTAATAGTAACTTCGAGATATTATAAAAGTCGAATGAGATTTACTGGACATGTTTGGCTTGGTTTTGTTTGTGTATACTGATTCACATGCCTTAATAGTAACTTTGAGATAGGTTGTGTTTTAACTCGAAATACAAACTTCAAAGGTATACAACGTTTATTTATATATTTATTTCTTCAACCAAGAAGTTTAGTTATTATTAATCAAATCGTGGCTCAAGGCCCGCAAGATACAAATAGGAGGATTGGACAACCATATTACTATATTAGACAGTCAGGCAAAGGAGGAACAACTGTTCGAGCAAGTTCATGAGCAACATGATTCACATGCCGTTTAATAAAATCAAAAGAAATGCTATTAAAACTCTTAACTAAGTCTCTTGCATCATCTGCTCACAAACCAAATTGTGCTAGGCCTCCACCAGTTTCTCGATAGCATAAACAGCTTCAAAGGCATCGGATTCAACATCTAGGCATTCTCCTTCAACCAACTCAATGCTTCACGAACCCTAAGGACCTCTGCTTCTTTTGGTGAATTTCCTCCCTAGCCATGGCTGAGCTCTTGCCACCACAAAGACACCACCAGCATCCTTTGCCTCCAAAACAAGCCCTTGCCATCCATTAGTCCCAGTAGCTGCGTCAATTAGGGGTGTGCAAAAATACTGAACTGACATGGTACCGAACCAAAACGGTATGGTACTGGACTGAAAAACGGGGTTTGAAACGGATCTCAAAGTTTTTTGTCCCGAACCGAACCGTACCGATTCTAAATAATGCCATGACCGATTCTCATAAAATGAGAATCAACCCAGACGAACCGGACCGAAGTATGATTTATTTAAATTTGTACTACTATAGTTTATCTGAAATTTATTAATTATGTAATACTACGTCCGCCCCAAATTGATTTGCAAAAATTAATTTTTCTTGTCAAACGGTTTCATTTTATTCACTTAAATAGCATGTCAATTTTTAATTATAATTAATTTGGTGTTTGCAACTTTGAACGAGTTTTTATGTAGTTTCTGAATATGTAAATTTTAATTGTTAAAAATTGAATTAATTATCAATAAAGAGGATTTAAATTTAACATTGGTTGACCAAAAAATATTGACTTTGCATATCAATTTGGGACGGAGGGAGTATGAAAATTGATGAATTGTGTGGATTTTTGGAGGATGGCTAAACTTTAATTTCCTCTTACACACTAGGAAAAGGTAGCATAATTTGGTATTGGTATGACATGGTACCATCCCGTTTGAAAATGGAACCGTACCGAACGGGTTTAGGTGTAAGACTGAACCGTTTGAATAGTCACGGTACGGGTAAGGGTTCGACCAAATATTGGACCGGACCGGACTGTGCCTACCCCTAGCGGCAATATTAACCTTCACATAACCAACTTTTGGTTTCCTCCACATCTCCGGCGGCCTTCTTCCAGACTACTCCAGCCTCTAGGGGTCCGCTACCCATCTCTTGAGCTGTGCGCCACCCTCCAAGAAAAGATTTGGCCATCACCGTTGTGCTAGCTTCTTCATGCCATATTTTCCTATCACTAAACTGCCATAAACTCCAACAATACTTGACCAACTCACAACATTGCTCCTCATTCTTGGATGAGAAAAGCACCCGAACCACTCTAACAAAGAATATATATATAGATGTACAACGTTTATACTTTCCCCGTTCTTAAATAAGTGCAACGGTCATTCGGTCAACATTCACGTCGAGGCACAACTTTGACCATTAATATATCTAACTCTCTATTAGTAAAAAAATAAAAAATAAAATAGATTTTGAAAATTTACAATGAGACAAATTTAGTAATATTTTTTTCAAAAAAATATATTAATGCATCAATAACTAAAATGTAGTCAAAGTAGAACATGCGAATAATGTAAGATTTTGTATGTTTCACTTATTTAAAAACGGAGGTAGTATGATTAGCAGGTGTTAGAAGTAATGGGCGGTTGTGGCAGTGGTTTGCCCACTAAACACATATTTAGTTGATTCAGTACGTCAAAAAGAAGTTTTCAGTGCATCTTATAGTTGTCCCAGGATACTTCAAAAGGTAGAGAAGTTGGGCCTCACACGTAATACGTTACTCGAAAGACGAAAGGTATCCACACTCGACTATTGTTTGTATTTTCACCAAAAAAATTGTTGAAAATCAGAGCTTTGGATCAGACTTTTTGTTTATATAATACTTGTGCCGATTAAAAGAAACCAAGAACCGTAATCAAAATAATTCATATTCTTAAGAGTTGGGCTGGTCTTGCATGGAGCATTTCATGATTCTTGCCATCAACTTATAGGACTCCACGACCCAAAGATAGATATTGGACTGCTGTAAGTGTAAATTAAAGTAGGAGAAAGATTTTCTTTTATTATTCAATGTAAATCATGTCCTACAACCGAGTGCTGCCTATCAATTATAAGGAAAGAAAATATTCCACATAAATGTAAATAAATGATAGGACCGAAAATAACTATAAGCCTAAAATAGCTAACAATCATGATACTCCCCCTCAAGTTGGAGCATGAGGTTCAAGAATGCCCAACTTGCGAAGTAGGTAATGGAACTGAGTCTTGCCAAGAGCTTTAGTAAAGATGTCGACAAACTGTACAGTAGTAGGGACATAGCTAGGAGCAATAAGACCATCTTTGATAGCATCTCGAACAAAGTGACAATCAACCTCAATATGTTTTGTGTGTTCGTGAAAAACAGGATTGCGGGCAATGCGTAAAGCAGACTGACTGTCACAGAAGAGAGGAATAGCCTTGGGATGCTGAATACCAAGACTCAAGAGTAGGGCCTTTAACCATTTGAGTTCGCACGTGGTTGCTGCCATGGCCCGATACTCAGCTTCAGGCGACGATCGTGACACAGTAGATTGCTTTTTGGTCTTCCCGGAGACGGGTGAGTGGCCCATAAAAACCAACCATCCTGATAAAGAACGTCGTGTAATAGGGCAAGCAGCCCAATCTGAATCACACCATCCAGTTAAGGATAAATCACTGTCAGCCCAAAGAAGTATTCCCTGCCCAGGAGAACCTTTAAGATAACGGACCACACGAAGAGCAGCATCCCAGTGAGCTTGGCATGGAGAGTGCTTAAACTGAGACAAAATGTGTACAGAGTAAGCTAGGTCAGGGCGGGTAACATCCAGATAAATGAGTCGTCCAAGTAAGCGACGATAAGGCTTAGGATCAGAGAGAACATGCCCTTCAATTTTGGCGAGAGAATGATTCTGATCAATAGGAAAGGCCGTCGGTTTGGCCCTTAAAAGACCAGTTTCAGTGAGAATATTCATAGTGCACTTTCTTTGTGTAAGAAACAGGCATGAGGGACTTCACGCTACTTCAATACCAAGAAAGTAGCGAAGTGTGCCCAAATCTTTCATATGAAAACAAGTACTGAGATAAGATTTAAATTGAAGGATGGCGTCGTGATCATTTCCAGAAATGATCAAGTCGTCAACGTACACCAGAACATTCAACTGAACAGATCCCCGAGTCTGAGTGAACAAAGAATAATCGGCATATGATTGAATGAAGCCGTAACCGCAAAGGGCCCCAACTAATTTTGCATACCAACAGCGGGGAGCTTGTTTCAAGCCATAGAGAGATTTATGTAGGCGACATACAAGTGAAGGATCAGACATAGTATACCCTGGAGGGATCTGCATATAGACTTATTCATCTAAATCCCCATGCAGAAAAGCATTATGAACGTCCATCTGGTGAAGCTCCCAATTTTTAGAAGCTGCAACTGCAAGGAAGGCCCGAACAATAACCATTTTGGCGACTGGAGCAAACGTCTCTGTGTAATCAAGTCCAGCAACTTTTCGATTGCCAAAGATTACCAATCGAGCTTTTAGACGTTTAACAGAACCATCAGAGTGATATTTAATCTTGTAAACTCACCGACTCCCCAAAGCTCGTTTTCCGGGAGGAAGAGTTTGGAGAGTCCAAGTATGATTTTGTTCAAGTGCGTGTATCTCATCGCGCATAGCAGCCCGCCAACTAGCATCTTTGTCCGCTTCAGAAAAGGAGGTAGGTTCCGTATGAACAGAAATAGCTGCAAAAAACGGATGATATCGAGAAGAAAAGTTATCACAGTTAATGTAATGAGCTATAGGGAATGGAGTACTTGAGGAGGAGTGAGGAGCAGGATGAGCGGAGAATGGACTGTTGTGGACCACCGTGTGAGTGGCATAATCCTTCAATTTGACTGAGGGAATCCGGATGCGTTTACCACGACCCAGATCATCTGACGAACTCAGAGATGGTCCATCTGCGGAAGGCTGAGAATCGGACACCAGATGAGGAATTTCAGGAGGTGCCCGGATGGTGGTCAGGTATTCCCAGGTATCAAGGATTGGCGGAGGTGACGGATCATCTGATGAATCATGTGGCAATGTCTCTGATGACATGGTGGCAAAGGGGAACTGATTTTCAAAAAATTTGACATCGCGGGAGATAAAAAATTCCCGAGTTTCAAGATCATAGACACGCCACCCTTTCTTGCCATTGGGGTATCCAAGAAAAAGACATTTCCGGCTGCGGCTAATAAATTTATCACGAGCGGAACGGAGATTATGCGCAAAACATAAACACCCGAAAACCCGAAGAGCCTCATAATTAGGTAATTTTCTGAACAAAACTTCATAGGGGCTTTTATGTTCAAGAACATCGGAAGGGGTGTAGTTAATAAGGTGTGCTGCAGTAAGAACACATTCACCCCAAAATTGGATCGGAAGGTGCGCCTGAAATCGCAATGCTCGAGCCACGTTGAGTATGTGTCGATGCTTGCGCTCCACTCGCCCATTTTGTTGAAGAGTAGCAAAACAAGAAGTATGAAACAGAATCCCCGAGGCACTAAAAAAA